GGCACATGTGTTTGGCCCTGTCAGCAGCTGGATACACGTGCTATTTATCGGGCAGCCGGTCCAACTTGCCCGCTGCCGGCGGCACTGTCGAATGTACCCTTGGCATATGTCGTGGGAAGGCAAGTGGGCGGTTAAGGAGAGTACATAAAGACTAGTCTCAAGGGACTTATGTGTCTGTGTGATGGTTGAGCAGAGTACTGCATAGCTGACCTGTGCACGCTCGTCAGAAATGCAGGGAGGTGCGACAGCACAGTTCCGCCGCGATGACTCGGCCCGAGACAGTCAAACATGACTGTAAAACGAGAGTGGTACTCACCGCCGAGACAGTCAAAAATGACTGTAAAACGAGATCAGAGCCAGAGGTACGAGCCAGAGGTACGACAGCGCGATTTCGCCGCGGTGACTCGGCCCGGGTGCGGTCGAAAACAGTCAGCCGGTGCAAACGTGCCGAAATATGAGACGCGCGGAACGCGGAAGAGCACTTCCGGAGTACCAGCGTCAACACTGCTAAGAGGGCAAGTCAAAAAAGATGGAGACTGACAAATCGCCTAAGGGTGGAAGGTCAGCTCCCAATATCGCACGATTGTGGCCCAAGACGTCTGGCAAGACAAGACAAGAAGGCTGGCATGAATGCTATGGCCTGCCAGCCTGGTCTAACCATCACCGAGACATCGTGAGCGTGACCTGGCCTGACCTGCCTAGCCGGCGTGCGTGCTTGCAGCCAAGTCTAGCGCAACTGGTCTAGCCTGGAAACCCCACGTAACGCCCACCGTCGAGACGTCATGTGTGGCAAGTCCTAAAATGGAAAGCCCACGTAACCATCACCGAGACTTCGTGAGGGTGACCTCGCCTGGCCTGACCTGCCTAGCCGGCGTGCGTGTTTGCAGCCAAAAGTCTAGCGCAACTGGTCTAGCCTGGAAACCCCACGTAACGCCCACCGTCGAGACGTTATGTGTGGCAAGTCCTAAAATGGAAAGCCCACGTAACCATCACCGAGACAGTCAAAAATGACTGTAAAACGAGATCAGAGCCAGAGGTACGAGCCAGAGGTACGACAGCGCAATTGCGCCGCGGTGACTCGGCCCGGGTGCGGTCGAAAACAGTCAGCCGGTGCAAACGTGCCGAAATATGAGACGCGCGGAACGCGGAAGAGCACTTCCGGAGTACCAGCGTCAACACTGCTAAGAGGGCAAATCAAAAAAGATGGAGACTGACAAATCGCCTAAGGGTGGAAGGTCAGCTCCCAATATCGCACGATTGTGGCCCAAGACGCCTTGCAAGACAAGACAAGAAGAGCCTGGTCTAACCATCACCGAGACATCGTGAGCGTGACCTGGCCTGACCTGCCTAGCCGGCGTGCGTGCTTGCAGCCAAGTCTAGCGCAACTGGTCTAGCCTGGAAACCCCACGTAACGCCCACCGTCGAGACGTCATGTGTGGCAAGTCCTAAAATGGAAAGCCCACGTAACCATCACCGAGACATCGTGAGGGTGACCTAGCCTAGCCTGACCTGCCTAGCCGGCGTGCGTGCTTGCAGCCAAAAGTCTAGCGCAACTGGTCTAGCCTGGAAACCCCACGTAACGCCCACCGTCGAGACGTCATGTGTGGCAAGTCCTAAAATGGAAAGCCCACGTAACCATCACCGAGACATCGTGAGCGTGACCTGACCTGGCCTGACCTGCCTAGCCGGCGTGCTTGCAGCCAAAAGTCTAGCGCAACTGGTCTAGCCTGGAAACCCCACGTAACGCCCACCGCCGAGACATGTGTGGCAAGTCCTTAAATGGAAAGCCCACGTATTGTATTGTATGCATTGTATGTATTGTATGTATTGTATGTATCGTATGTGTTGTATGTGTTGTATGTGTTGTATGTGTTGTATGTGTTGTATGTGTTATATGTGTTGTATGTGTTGCATGGGGTGCATGGGGTGCATGGGGTGCATGGGGTGCATGTATACTAGGTAACATTTTTTAGATCACATCAAAACAATTCAATGTGGCAAATCCTTACATGGAAAGCCCAAATAAAATGGTCAAATGTGGCAGGCCCTTTATTGGGAAGCCCGAACAGAATTGTAAAATGTGGCAAATCCTTACATGGAAAGCCCGAACAGAAAGATCAAATGTGGCAAGCCTTAAATGGGAAGCCCAAACAGAATTGTAAAATGTGGCAAGTCCTTATACGGAAAGCCAAATAGAAGGATCAATGTGGCAAGCCCTTAAATGGAAAGCCCGAACAGAATTGTGAAATGTGGCAAATCCTTACATGGAAAGCCCAAATAAAATGGTCAAATGTGGCAGGCCCTTTATTGGGAAGCCCGAACAGAATTGTAAAATGTGGCAAATCCTTACATGGGAAGCCCGAACAGAAAGATCAAATATGGCAAGCCCTTAAATGCCCGAATTAAGCCCGAATTAAAAGGTCAAGCGGGACAAGCCTTTAAAAGGGAAGCCTGAATAGAACTGTCAAGCGTGATGATGAGCGAGCAAAGACAGCTCGTGTTTCGTCTTCATTGGAGGAAGGCGTGTAAGAAATGGACGATGAAATGCAGCAATGCTGACTAGAAACGATAAGGAAGCACAAACGTGGCGAGTCTTGAAATGGAAAGTCCAAAGAAAAACGATAAACGTGGCTAATGGGCAGATGCTTATAAATGCATCTGCCCGCTCGATGTGGACATGTTAAGTGTCCCAATATGGGTGATGAGCTATCAAAAAGACAACCTTTACTGGACTGTCTTAAAACTCAGATGCCTATAAATGCATCTGCTCGCTGGATGTGGACATTATGAGTGTCCCAATATGGGTGATGAGCTATCAAAAAGACAGGGCCTTTACTGGACTGTCTTAAAACTCAGATGCCTATAAATGCATCTGCTCGCTCGATGTGGACACGGTGAGTGTTCCAATATTGGCCATGAGCTATAAAAAAGACAGAGCTCTTATTGGACTGTCTTCAAACTAAAAACAAACGTTTGCTTTGAATGTGAAAGGTATACATTGGTTATGCCTTAATTTATACCTTAAAATTATACTTAAGAAACGCTCTTATTTAACATAAGCTAAACTTACCCAACAAAGAAAACATTTTTTACTTCTCAGATTTGTATCTAATATTTGACTTAAACTGACGTATAATTAAAAGGTAAAATATATCAAAAACAATTACATATAATTAAACGGACTGGTTTTGTCTATAAATTACTTCATCAGCGCATTTCAAACACGTATAACATATACATCAACGTTCAATATATCAGTAACTACATGAAAGTTAAACATAAGTTGCTGCCGAGTTCACCCATTTCATAAACCCGCCCTTCGTGTTAATCGTTTCGCTAGTTGCTATACACGCCACTTCAGTTGCTTTCCTTAGCGCTGATAGTCACTTATAGACGAAACCGGTCAGCTTAATTATATGTAACTGCTTTTTAATATATTCGTAGTCCACTTGCGCTGTACTGTATACTTGTCCAATAATCTAAACTGACGTATGTCTGTGTCGTTTCAGGCCTTGATTGAAAGGAAGATGGTTACTGAGATTTCTGGGTGACTGTAGAGTGCTGCTTCAGAAAGGGAAGTAATGGCAGATTGTTACTTAAGCTTTCCGGGCGATGGCAGACTGCTTCTTAAGAATGTTAGGCAATGCAGATTGTCACTTAAGCTCAACATTAAAATTGTCACTTTCTTAAGATAGCTTGAAGTTTTTGAAATTTAAATTAAAGTCTTTCTAAGTTTTTCTTAAGTGAAGATTTAGTTAAATATTGTCACTTGATGGGTTAGGTGGGTATCTGTTAATGGGTTAGGTGGGTATCTGGGTATCTTAAGCGTATCCGTAAATGCACTCAATATGCATGATCTTTCAATTTCTATATAATAACATACTTTTTGTGTCGTTTCAGATGATAGCTGGAGCACTTAGTGATTTATGAAGATTTAAGACACAGCATGAGTAACGTGGCACAAAAGGCTACAAACCCATGCATAATCACTGAAGTGATCACATGGATGATGATACTGTCTGTACATACTTACTGCTGAAATAGCAGAAGATGACAGGAAACAGTGACTGACTGTGATCACTAACACTGATTATGTCTGGTGTAGCTTTCATGAAATGGAATCATGTGCATAACTAAGATAACTACTTGCATGTGATTGTTGTTATTTTGGTCTAACGTTGTTAAGCGCGGGGACCTTAATAACCTTTATAATTGACTAAATAAATTAACTCATTATTTACTTATAATGTTTAAATTTCAATAATAAACAAAAGCCTACTTAGAAATTTGCTGAATTATTAATTAACCTAACAATTCATAACAAAATAAATAAATACCTTAATATTCTAACCTATGTTTGCTTTTTGCATCGTTTTCTGATTGGTACTATTTGTTTCAGGTTTTCAACATCAGGACAAAAGGATGACGAAATTATCTCACCTGTGACAATCTGGAGAGATATCCGATCTTCTCTGCCCACCAGTTCATTTATTTTGTTCCTGTGTTTATGCATTGATTAGAAAATATTTATCAGTCATGCATGAATGTGTTAGATTTATAGAATGCTGTATTTTCTGATATGTACCTGTGGCTAATATGTTAAGCGTACTCTGCGTGTAATATGTAATACAATTTACTCTACTTATATACGTGTTTTATTTCCCTCCTTTGGAGGGCATTGGCACAATACAACAAAAAGTTAAATATGTAGTGCTTAAGAAATATAGTTAAATTTCGCAATATGCAGCTTTGTTTCATTTTTATCTTCAGCTACGGTTAAAGTATCTAGGTTTCTTAATATGTAACCTAAAAGTGTTATAAATATTGTGCATCGTAATAAAGTAACAACAGTAAATAAAAACAGGGCGTAGGAGAAGATAGGCTAAAGGTGTTCAGGGTTTTACTTTATGATAGGATTTTGACATTTGTTTTATTTCGTTACAGGTTAAAATCCTAGCAAGGAACAATTAAGAAAACGAACAGAGTGAAGGCAAATCGATATGTCAGAAGATCACTGGGGTATATTTCTTGCTAACACCGAAGACAAACATGCCAAGAGAAAGCCCAAAAAGAAGAAGCGCTATGCAGAAGAAAACACTGCCTCGGCCTTCGGTAGCAGAACCATCTATGGTAAGTTGATTCATACTTGCATTTTGAATTTGCATTGCAGCTGCTTCCAAACGACTGGGCGATGGCCAGCACAAATTGACTCGCAAGAGTCCGTCTGAGCTGGGTATATGGACGAAAGACCAATCAAACCAACTAGTAGCTGGTTCCGCCCGAAGTGTCCCTCAGGATAGCTGTCACTCGTGTGATACGGAATTTCATCCGGTAAAGCGAATTATCAAAGGAGCTGGGCTCCTTGCGACCTTTCCGGGTGATGGCAGATTGCTACATAAGATGTCAGATTGCTACTTAAACTTTCAGGGTGATGGCAGATTGCTACTTAAGATGGCAGATTGCTACTTAAACTTTCAGGGTGATGGCAGATTGCTACTTAAGATTGCAGATTGTCGCTAAAACGTCCCGGGTGATTCCAGCATTGCACTTAGTAACTTCTAGTCCTTTCTTCCAATAACTAAATGCATGCATCTCTATTACAGAGGGAAGTGAAGCAGACAAGGAGGAGGTCCCCACGAAGGTGAAGGACAAGCAAAGGAAGAAAAGGAAGAAGGATCCGGACATGCCCGAGAAGATCCCAATCTGGTTCGGGGAACAGCAGGAGGACGAAGACATGCACGACATCGCTCCTCCACCCGAAGCATCAGCCCTCGGCGGCCAAACCGTCAATGGTGAGTTGATTCGTAGTTAAAATTTGAATCACAATATCTATGACTTTTTGAGAAAGTAACTTCCAGTTACTATCTGATAACTGACAGAATATAACTCTATTACAGTCGGAAGTGAAGCAGCCGAGGAGGTCCTCACGAAGGTGGACAAGAAAAGGAAGAAGAAGAAGAAGAAGAAGGATCTTGACAAGTTCGAGGAGATCCCCACCAGGCTCGGGGAAGAACAGGATTTGCACGATGATGCTCCTCCAGCCGAGGCCTCGGCCCTCGGTGGCCAAACCGTCGATGGTGAGTTGATTTATAGTTAAATTTAAATCACAATATCTATGACTTTTTGACAAAGTAACTTCCAGTTACTACGTCCGATAACTAACAGAATATATCTCTATTACAGTCGGAAGTGAAGCAGCCGTTAAGGTCCTCACGAAGGTGGAAAAGAAAAGGAAGAAGAAGAAGAAGGATCTGGTAATGATGGAGGAGATCCGCACCTGGCTCGGGGAAGAACAGGATATGCACGACGATGCTCCTCCAGCCGAGGCCTCGGCCCTCGGCGGCCAAACCGTCGATGGTGAGTTGATTTATAGTTAAATTTAAATCACAATATCTATGACTTTTTGACAAAGTAACTTCCAGTTACTACGTCCGATAACTAACAGAATATATCTCTATTACAGTCGGAAGTGAAGCAGCCGTTAAGGTCCTCACGAAGGTGGAAAAGAAAAGGAAGAAGAAGAAGAAGGATCTGGTAATGATGGAGGAGATCCGCACCTGGCTCGGGGAAGAACAGGATATGCAAGACGATGCTCCTCCAGCCGAGGCCTCGGCCCTCGGCGGCCAAACCGTCGATGGTGAGTTGATTCATAGTTAAAATTTAAATCACAATATCTATGACTTTTTGACAAAGTAACTTCCAGTTACTACGTCCGATAACTAACAGAATATATCCCTATTACAGTCGGAAGTGAAGCAGCCGAGGAGGTCCTCACGAAGGTGGACAAGAAAAGGAAGAAGAAGAAGAAGAAGAAGGATCTGGACGAGTTCGAGGAGATCCCTACCAGGCTCGAGGAAGAACAGGAGGATATGCACGACGATGCTCCTTCAGCCGAGGCCTCGGCCCTCGGCGGCCAAACCGTCGATGGTGAGTTGATTCATAGTTAAAATTTAAATCACAATATCTATGACTTTTTGACAAAGTAACTTGCAGTTACTACGTCCGATAACTAACAGAATACATCTCTATTACAGTCGGAAGTGAAGCAGCCGAGGAGGTCCTCACGAAGGTGGACAAGAAAAGGAAGAAGAAGAAGAAGGATCTGGTAATGATGGAGGAGATCCCTACCAGGCTCGAGGAAGAACAGGAGGATATGCACGACGATCCTCCTCCAGCCGAGGCCTCGGCCCTCGGCGGCCAAACCGTCGATGGTGAGTTGATTCATAGTTAAAATTTAAATCACAATATCTATGACTTTTAGACAAAGTAACTTCCAGTTACTACGTCCGATAGCTAACAGAATATATCTCTATTACAGTCGGAAGTGAAGCAGCCGAGGAGGTCCTCACGAAGGTGGACAAGAAAAGGAAGAAGAAGAAGAAGAAGAAGAAGGATCTGGACGAGTTCGAGGAGATCCCTACCAGGCTCGAGGAAGAACGGGAGGATATGCACGACGATGCTCCTCCAGCCGAGGCCTCGGCCCTCGGCGGCCAAACCGTCGATGGTGAGTTGATTCATAGTTAAAATTTAAATCACAATATCTATGACTTTTAGACAAAGTAACTTCCAGTTACTACGTCCGATAGCTAACAGAATATATCTCTATTACAGTCGGAAGTGAAGCAGCCGAGGAGGTCCTCACGAAGGTGGACAAGAAAAGGAAGAAGAAGAAGAAGAAGGATCTGGACGAGTTCGAGGAGATCCCTACCAGGCTCGAGGAAGAACGGGAGGATATGCACGACGATGCTCCTCCAGCCGAGGCCTCGGCCCTCGGCGGCCAAACCGTCGATGGTGAGTTGATTCATAGTTAAAATTTAAATCACAATATCTATGACTTTTTGACAAAGTAACTTGCAGTTACTACGTCCGATAACTAACAGAATATATCTCTATTACAGTCGGAAGTGAAGCAGCCGAGGAGGTCCTCACGAAGGTGGACAAGAAAAGGAAGAAGAAGAAGAAGAAGGATCTGGACGAGTTCGAGGAGATCCCTACCAGGCTCGAGGAAGAACGGGAGGATATGCACGACGATGCTCCTTCAGCCGAGACCTCGGCCCTCGGCGGCCAAACCGTCGATGGTGAGTTGATTCATAGTTAAAATTTAAATCACAATATCTATGACTTTTTGACAAAGTAACTTGCAGTTACTACGTCCGATAACTAACAGAATATATCTCTATTACAGTCGGAAGTGAAGCAGCTGAGGAGGTCCTCACGAAGGTGGACAAGAAAAGGAAGAAGAAGAAGAAGGATCTGGTAATGATGGAAGAGATCCCTACCAGGCTCGAGGAAGAACAGGAGGATATGCACGACGATGCTCCTCCAGCCGAGGCCTCGGCCCTCGGCGGCCAAACCGTCGATGGTGAGTTGATTCATAGTTAAAATTGGAATCCATTTTTCAGGGTGATAGCAGATTGCTACATTAGTTGGCAGATTGCCACTTAAACTTTCAGGGTGATGGCAGATTGCTACATAAGATGGCAGATTGCTACTTAAACTTTCAGGGTGATGGCAGATTGCTACTTAAGATGGCAGATTGCTACTTAACTTTCGCGGGTGATTCCGGCATGGCACTTAGAGTGGTTTCTGTTTAGAATGATGAAACTGACATAAATTATGTCTGTTTTAGCCGGGGGCAGTCAGCAACCAGCAACCGTCGCTGACGACGAGGACGACGAGGTGGAGCAGCCCACTCGACTTTCTCCAACGCTCTCTGAGTGCGGCGGCTGGATGGAGTACGGTAAGTTGTTCTATAGATTCTAACCAGTTGTGTTTATATTTATATCAATCAAGTTTATATTTGAATTTTTCGTAAACGACTTTTCTTTTGATGATCAAAACTGCGTATTTTCTCCGACAGAGGGTCCACCTCTGGCTGGCAACAGTGACACCCCGACGGGTGCCACCCCGCTGGACTCTGCTGAAGATGACGACGACGAATGGGTGCCGGGGAGCAACGCGTCGTCGCTACCGGACCCCTTTGCCGACCTGGATCCGTCTGCCGACCTGGAGCCGTCTGCCGACCTGGAGCCGTCTACCGGCCCAGAGCCGTCTGCCGGCCCGGACCCGGACCCGTCTGCCGGCCCGGACCCGGACCCGCCTGCCGATCCGGTCCCGGGCCCATCTTTCCCGGTGTCCCGTACTTCCAGGGCCGGTAAATGAAATAATTATATTGATATGCAGAGGTTGAGTTATGCATTCCTTAAAATAAATATATGGATTCAACGGAAGTCCCACTAACATTGCCTTTTGTTTTTGTACTTTTATTGACAGGCAAACCAAGGCGCGGCCGGTCAAGAACCGACAACAGCAGGAACCGCTACGCCTGTCATTTGGGGAGTTGCGCAGGACGCCTTACATACGTCAACTTGCCCCGCCATATAAAGCAGTGGCATCCAGAGGTAAATAACAACAGCTATCTGTGAACATATGTAATTGCTTACTTTTAGCAAAATGAAAGACGGCGTCAGACTGACACTTGAACTAAGCACTGTCGTTGAATTGTTCCAGTTTGCTCATGAGGCATGTGACCAAGCAAAAAGGATGCGCCGCATGAGCAGGATGGGCGTGAGCCCAGCACGAGGCTCCTCTCCGCCGCGCCCAAGACGCCGCTGGCGTTGCAGCGTAGCGGGCTGCACCTCTGTCGTCATCAATCTGCCCGAACATCTTGACCGACACTTCAAAAGCCGGACCTGCCCTGAGGTATTTCATATTTTTGGTTATTGGTATGAAAACATAATGATGAATACTTTTTTGGAAATGAAACTGACATTATCAGTGCTAACAATCACATTTTTCAGTTCCAGGAAGCCTACGATGCGGCTCAGGTGGTGCTGCCGGAGAGGAAGGAAGTCGTGGCAGCGATGGACGTCCCGGCAGTTTTCAACAGATATGCCGAGTACCTCCGCGGCGTGCCTGGTGGCTGCCGACAAGAGGAGGTAGTGCAGCGCTTCATCCGTGCGGTAAGCTCCAATAAATATTGTTCAGTGTTGAGAATGGGTTGAACGAATTTTGATGCGTGTAACGTGGTTTCAGTTAAATGTGATGGCAATGATATGGTGCTATATTGACCATAGTGATTTCTATTTTGTAGCTTCGTCTTTGGCTGCCCAACATCACCGGCCTACCGCTGGAGCGCCAGACAACAGAGGACCTGCTCAGGGCCCTCAGCGGCCCCATGCTGGAATGTGAAAAGAGCGATGGGTGGATACTGACACAGAGACACAGCGGGGACCTGCGTACGTCCACGCTGAGGGCCCAGATCCGGTCAATCGCCGACTTCCTCGACTACGCGATCTCGGACGCCGCGGCCCTTGGCGTGGACGCCAGGCGCTGGTCGCCTATGCTGAGCGTAAGTCATTGTTTTGCTTTGTACTTGGGGTGCTATATACTCTCAATGTACACATCATCTCGAGTTGAATGTTTTTTTTTTTTTGGTGATAACATGCAACACGGCTCTTCCCTGCATTCACAGACCATGAAGGAACGTCTCGCTGGCTGGCGCCGGGCGCTCAAAACAACGGAGCGAGACGCAGAGCGCCACTACACGGGCCAGGCCGAGCGCATTATCAGCCTTGAGGCGCAGCAGCGCTTCCTGGAGGTAAAATTTAACTTTACTTTTACAACTATTTTAATATGATCTCATGGACTTCGTGATAAAATCTATAACAGTTATTTGGGAGAAATTTTGAACAAGGTTATGAAAACAAATTACAGCTTCAACAAAGTTGGCTATGCTTTACTCTTTCCAGTCGGACCTGGCAAAGGCGATGGAGGCCATCCCCGGTCCAGAAGACCTCCCAACTCTACAGTCGGCCAGGACCGCAAGAAATCGTCTCATGACAATTCTGCTGGTGACGGGTGTCGGACGCCCGTCACATGTGACGGGCATCGAGGCGAGGCACCTCGAGTCCGCACGGGTAAGTCTAAGCTTTTGGCATTAGTAGTTACCATGATGTACTTACCATGATACTACTCCTTTGTGCGTAACTGAAATGAAAGTGTGTAAGTGCGTTTTCCTTTGTGTATTTCAGGACGCAGAACTCGGTGGCAGAAGCCACAAGCTGATCCGTAACTGGACCTTCAAGACGGCCAGACAGCACCGCCATGAAGCGCCATGCCGCCTGGAGACCTGGCACCGGCTGCGGTATTACCTCGACCAGGAGAGGCCTCTCCTCCTGGCGGCGGGCAGTGGCACCCCTTCTGAGGACAGCGGCCGAGTAAGTGAAAAGTGCATATATGTTATTAAGTCTTGTTTCGATTGTATATATTTTATGATCTTTCAGAGCGCAGACGGCGCACATCTGACCATCTTTTTGTCCCTGTGTGTTATAGCTGTTCATCAACCAGGGAGGCTCAGCCATTGACTCAAGCAATG